CCCGGCTCCACGCACGATCCGTGTCCCCTGGCAATGGCCTCGCACATGGTCCCGCTGTATTTACCTAATTAAGACTTAATGAAGTGGGGAGATCTATTGTGGGCCTGGCAGGGGGAGCAGATGTGCCCCCTGAACCCGGGGAAAGCGCACTGCTGTCTCCAGGGTGAATCAGCAGGAAAAGCTCGGGCTGGGATGCTCAGCCCTGCAAATTCCAAACCCCGCTGCTCTTCCAGAGCAGGGACGGAAAATGCTCTGGTCATCAGCAGCCTCTAGTGGGGAGAGGTGGGCAGCGGGGGCGGCCGCTTCGGCCGGACCCCAGAGCCACGGTCAACCCATCCTGGCTGTCCCCACCACACCCTGGCTGTCCCCAGCAGCCCAGAAGGGGATGCCATGGGACAGTCCCGACGCTCTGAAGGACCACAGCCCTGGTGGAATGTCCAGGGTGTGACACTGCTCGTCCTCACGCACCGGGTGCCAGACCCGGGCTAAGCAGGGAGAGCCGGTTACAGCCCCTCCCTGTGAATCCCAACTCGCCCAAATCACTGCATTGTAGGGACGAGGGACACATCCCCCTCCTTCCCAAGCAGCTCCGGGCTGATGGTGAGCAAGTCCATCCCCTCCCCAAATCACACCTCAGCTCCCACACCTTCATCCAGCGTGGCCAAGAGCCAACTATCACCTCAAACTTCCAACCACCTTGAGCCTCTTCCTGCAGGTGAAACACTGCTCAGCAGAGAAGGGACTATTGCTGTCCCCCCGGGGCTGGGACCACCTGCAACCTGCCCTGAAATAGCCGGGGAGGGAGCTCAGGGAAACCTTATTATATATTAAATCACTGACATAACTTCAGAGTGCCTGCTCGGGGAACAGCTCATGTTTTGCCTTCCTCCCAGGCGATCCTCACCCTCTGTTGGCTCCGAAAGGCCCGCGCCCGCCCGGGGGGACGCGCGGTGCGGAGCGATGCGGCTGCAGGCAATTCCAGCAGCTGCCAGGCTGCGCGCCGGCAACAGGGAACCTCATCCCAGCAGCACCGCCGCGGATGAGAAGGCACTTTCTCTCCTCAGCAGGTTCCAAACCCTCTCGGGAAGGCCTGAAGTTTCTGTGAAGAGCGAGGAAAAGCCCAGTGAAGGGACGGGGGAGTCCTGCGCCCGTAGAACGGGCTGAGCACCACCGTGGGAAGCGGTTTGGTGCGCGGATCAACTTTTGGCGGCTGCTGCTGACTCGCCGTTACCATCACCACAGGCAGAAGCAGCGTGTGCCTGACTGCGGGAGAGAAACTGAGGCGCTGCCAGCGCCAAGAGCTGGGGGAGATTCACATCTACACGGGCCCCGCAGCTGGGGGGATGCAAATTGCTCCACAAGTTTCGGATGCCTCCTCTCAGCTGCATCGCCACGGGCACAGTGGGCACGAGTAGGGCAGTGGCGTTAAGAAGGATTAAGCCAAACGCAGAACTTGGGTCCCGCGTCACCTCAACTCTGGTGCGGGCGCAAGTTACTGCCGCGGACTGACCGGGTTACTCCGGCACGAAGAGGACGCGGTGGGGAGTGACTCCGGCTCTCCCAGAGCCACATCCGTGCCCTCACCTCAGAGCCTTGGGAAGGGAGGAGCAGGGACACGGGGAAGTTCTGAGGTGCGCCTCGTAAGAACCCAACTCGCTCCCGCGCCCCAGGGCGGCTCCTCTCCCGCGAGGCAGCAGAGATTCCCCGCACCGTCCTCCTCCCCCGTCCCGGCCGTTCGCTCCGGCTCGGCCGGTCCCGCTGCCGGGCGGTGACAGAGCACGTGTGAGGTGTGACAGTGCCGGCACGCCCTGTGTCGCCGACATGAGCCCCCGACCCCCGGCCCAGCCCCACATTCCCACCGCGGCCGCCCCGCTCCCACGAACCGCGGAGCAAACGCCGGTTCTCCCCGAGCGGGAGCCTCGGCGTAAATCAATCCCCGGGCGAGGAGGCGGCTGCCGGCAGCGCCGAGCCAAGGCACACCCCTCCATTGCAACACAGCCCTAAAGATAGCCCTAAAGATTGTCGCTGTCCCCCTGCCACCCCGCCGGCCGCTCGGACCCCGCCGCGCACCGGGGAAGGCAAAGCGACCTGCCACCGGGTTCCAACCAGGTTTACACCAGCCCCTCGTCCCACCCACCAACCACGGCTGCCAGCAGGGAGAAATTCGGGAAGGGAAGGGATTGCAGGAACCGCCGGGGACGCCACACGCGCCTCTGGGTTGTAACATCAGCGCAAAACGTCCCCGTCGAGGAGGGGACGTGGCGACATCACCCCCCACCCCAGGGCCGCAGGGAAGTCGATGGGGAGGTTTTAGCACTGCCCGGGTGAGCCGGAGCAGGGACCGACGGCAGGAGAAGCCCCCGGGACAGGGATGGATGGCAGGAGCAGGGCCCTGGCACCCCCAGCTCAGCTTTGGGAACCGTCTCTGCGGGCACAGACGGGTCTGGGGGAGAGGGGACAGAGCTCTCTCGAAGCTCAGGTGGAGCTTCGGCAGCCCCGGCAGCACCGACCCAGGACCAAGAGCCAGACCCAGGTGCCAGCGTGTGGAGCTGCCACCTCCCAGGGTAGGTGACTGCGGGGGGCAGGGGGACCCCACTCTCCAGGACTGCACCCGCCTGCCCCCCTCCACTGCTCCGGTGGGAACAACACCACGGGAGGAAACACCCCAGTCCCGGGGTTGGCACCCACTCTGGGACAGGGCCCCAGCCACCTCCTGAGTGTGAGCCCACTGTGGGCCCCGCTGCTGCCCCCCCAGCCCTGCCACCCCACATCCTCCCCGTCAGCCCCACTCAGGGTCCCTGGGACAGCCCCAGTGCACCCCATTCCCCCCACACCCAGCCTGACCCCACTGGGGACCCCCCCACCCCACTTCCCTCCTGACAGCACTGCAGATGCCTCCCCCAGCCCCTAGACACCCCCAGTTTCCCCACAACCCCCCCGACCCCACACCTCACTCACTGAGGGTCCCCACACCCAGCCTGACCCCCACCCAAAACTCTGAGCACCCTAAAGCACCTCACACCCAGTTTGACCTCTACGGGTACTCCTGGCTGCCTCAGCCCCAAGTCACCACCCCACACCTAGCCTGACCCCACTGCGGACCCCCACCCCACAGCACCCCGTGTCCTGCTGCAACCCCCACCCCACAACCAGCCCCCTATGCGCCCCAAGAGCACCCCAAGTCCTCCTATGACTCCGCACCCCACGACCAGACTGACCCACCACGGGCTCCTCCAGGAACCCCCAAATCTCCCAAAACCAGCCTGACCTCTTCACCCCCTTCCCAGAGCTCCCAGAGACCCCCATACCCCCTGCACCCCAAAACCTGCTTGACCCCTACAGCCCCCCCAGACCCGCCTATATCCCTCCAGCACCCCACAACCGGCCTGACCCCCCCAGGGACCCCCAAATCCCCCCATGTCCCGTCCCCCCCCCACTCACCGGGGCCGCTCCGCTCCGCGCTGCCTCCACCTGCACCGCCGGCCCCGCCCCCTCTGACGTCACCGCGCCGGCCCCGCCCTGCCGCGCGCGCCGGCCGCTCCCATTGGCTGCCACCCCCGCCCGTCAAGCGCGCGCCGGGGAGGAGGCGTGGCCGCCCGCGCGGCGCTGCAGTGGGCGGGGCCCGCAGGTGAAGGGGCGTGGCCAGGAATCCCCCCTCCCAGCGCCCCCGTGACGTCACCGGCCCATATAAGGAGAAGGAGCCCCCGCGGGGATCCCCGCGCGACGTGGGGGGACCCCGGGCCGGGCCGGGAGAGCCCCAGATGTCCCCCAAAACCCGCGGGATCGGCGCTTTGGGGGATTTTTTTTTTTTGTTTCACCCGCTTTCTTAACTTTTCTCAGGGAAACCCCCTCCCCGCGGGGGCCGGGCCAGCCGGGGGGTTCCCCGTCCAGCGCCCACCCCACGCGGCTGCGGCGTGGCCGGCTCTGATAGAGGACTCCGGGGTCCCTGAAGTGCCCCGAACCCAACCCCGGGGCCACACCCGGGCTATCGGGCCGCGCAGGCGGCGGCTGCGGAGATAAGGGGGGACAGCGGCTCCGCCGGGACAGGACAGCCGTGGAGGGGGCGGCGGGGCTGCAACTCGGTCCCGGCACCAAGGGCACCGCTGCCCGCTCTGCTATCCCGGCCCTGCCGCGGCACTGGATGCCGGGGCTGGGCTGGAGCAGGCGGGTGTGCCCCAGGGTCACCCCCGGGGCCAGCCAAGGCCCTGCGCCCCGTCGCACCTTGCCCCGGGTCGGCGCGTCCCCCTGGGGACGGTCCCTGGTGCCACCTAATGGCCACCGCCCTGGGGACACCGGCAGGCACTGTCACCGCGTGTCCATCACCGTGTGTCCCCCCCTCTGCCCACACCAGGGCCTTTCCAGCTCCCAAAGAGCCACGGGACGGAGCCTCAACAGCCCGCAGCTTAAGTGGGCTTGTCCCCCCATCCCCTGCCCCTCCCGGGGACCCTCAAACCTTCCCCGGGGAGAAGGACGGTTTGGGGGGAGGAAGAGCCTCTCGTCCCCGCCGTGGTGGGAGAGGAGGGAGCCCCTGGCTAATGTGATGAGAGGGGGATGAATCCATAAGCTGTTAAGCCGCTGCAAAACCCCTCGCGTTCTGGCCCCGCTATCACCGACTTCTGCTCACATCTGCTCCCGGGGTTATTTTTAATCGGGTATTAAGGACTCCTGGGTCCTTCAGCAGGCAGAGGGAGGGCTCTGCTTGTCCCCACCCCCCCACCCCGAGCAGGAGCTGTGATTTGTGGGCCCCTGAGACACCAACACCAGCCCCGCTGCTATTTGGGTGGGGGGAAAGGGACCTTCTGGGACCCCCATCCCCTCCACACCCAGCCATCAGCTCTGCAGAGGGTCCCAGCACTGGTCCCTACAGGCTGGGAGCGCTGGGGAAAGGCTGAAGGGGGAACCAGGCAGGAGCCTCACACGGGATGTAAAAAATAAACATGTAAAACAAACAAATAAATATATAAAATATGTAAAAAATAAAGATATATTTATTAGCATTGAGTAAAGTGCAACCTCAGCGTGGTTGGAGGTTCAGCAGCCGAGGGAGAGGCAGGAGAGAAGCTCAGAGAGGGGAATGGCACGAGCAGGGCTGTGCCAATGGGATACAGGAACTGTACAAGTGCCTTAAAAATAAAAACAGAAACAACACCAGATAAATTATTTACAATCCAAATCGATTACAGGAGGATGAAGGGTCAGGAGCTGCTGCAGGCTGGGAGAGCAAGAAGAGGGGCTGGGATGGGACACAGGCCCTGAGCTGGTGTGTCAGGGGAGTTTGGGGGTTCAGGGCAACATTTGGGGGCAGCTGGGACTGCCCCCTGGCATCAGGCTCTGCTCTGGGGGGAGATGCAGTGGGGTGAAGCCTTGGGGCTGCCGCTCCTGCTGGAACAGGAATTCATTGGGATTTGCACAGGGGATGTGATGAACAGGATCAGGCCTTGTATCTGGATGTCTCTGCTAAAAAATCAGCAGAGGTTTTTACACAAGAGCTCAGCAGTTCCATGGAGCTGTGGAGCTGCAGGGGCTGCACTGCTGCTGGACACACCACCAGCACTTTCCTGTGCTGGCCTCTCCTGGAGCTATGGGATGTCCTTAATGGCAGAGACTCTGTCAGGCCTGTGCCCAGGTGGGAATCCTACTGGAGACCTCAGTGCCAACAGCTCTCTGTGTCACTGAGTAGCTCCAGAGGGGATCTGTTCCATTTACAAATACAAGAATTTTTCTTGCCAGTGCCTTAAACTCCCCAGGGAGGCCTGAGCTGAACAGTGCTCCTCCTACTCAAACACATCAGAGCAAAGACTCTGGAGCCCAAACACAACTGTGGGTGTGTGAACTGGGGGGGTCCAGCCTCTCTTCCACCCCAGAGCCAGTTCTGAAGAGATCAGGAAGAAATTCTTCCCTGGGAGGGTGGGGAGGCCCTGGCACAGGCTGCCCAGAGAAGCTGTGGCTGCCCCATCCCTGGAAGTGTCCAAGGCCAGGTTGGATGGGGCTTGGAGCAACCTGGGCTACAAGATGAGCATTAACATCCCTCCCAACCCAAACCATTCTGTGGTTCTGTGAAATGCTCACCAAGGCACAGAGAGCAGCACCCACAGGGGACAGGTTTCAGTCTGGCAGCCTGGCCCGCTCCCAGTTCATGCTGGAGGAGCTCCTGGGGTCTGAATCAGGAACTGTGCCCGCTGTGCTCTGGGCTGGAGACAGGCTGGAGCCACATGGCTTTGATCCACTCCCCTATCTGGCCAGTGGGAACATGGATCAAGTTTGCAGCTCGAGCCTGGGTCTGGTTCCTTCACTGACCTGTGCGGCACCGTGGGTGGGGGGCAGAGCGCTGGAGCAGCTGGGGCTGTTCCCCCCCAGACCTCAGCTCACTGGGAGCACTGGTGTGAACTGTGCTGCTCTGGAGCACAGCACAGCCCCTCACAGAGGGGACAGAGGCTGCATTGTCCTGGGACACAGCCACCAAAGCCCCGCAGATCCCTCCCGACACCTCGGATCCAACCCGGGATGGGGGGGGGGGCTATTGCCGCTCGCTCCTGACGTGGTCCCCGATCATCCGCCTGTGGTAGGTGGCCAGGAAGATGTCGTTGTCCCGGGGGCAGTCGTAGTGGCAGGAGCACACCTTGATGAACATCATCTTCCTGCGGAAGGAGTCTCCCTCGGGGCAGCGGAACTCCACGTCGGCCGTGCTGGTCAGCTCGGGAGTGCAGCACCGCCCGTCCCAGCAGCTCCCGCAGAACCGCGGCCGGTACGAGCGGGCGCTGGTGCACCCCGAGAACTCGAAGTGGAGGCTCTGGCGTGGCCTTGGGGTCCTCACGCACTTCTTCCCTTTCTAGGGAGGGAGCAGGGGGGTTAACACAGACAGGAAAGACGCACGGAGGCCTCCGCTCCATCCCCATCACTGTACAACGGGGCAGAGACAGCAGGACCACAGAGCAAACCCTGTGAGCCAGCGCCATTCCCAAGGTCTCCCCTGGCATTTGGGGAGCTGGGGTCCCCCTCTCCCCAAGCCCCCTACCTTGGTTTTCTCCATGGGGAAGTCGCAGGGCCGGACCATGCAGAGCCGGGTCTCCTTCTCCAGGCGGCACCGGGGGTTGTCGTTGGTGACGCGGGCGGAGATGCCCATCCCGCAGCTCCGGGAGCACGCGCTCCACGCCGTGGTCTGCACCAGGCAGTTCTCCTGCAGGTTGTTCAGCTCGGGCTTCTGGGCTGGCTCCTCCCTGAACACTGAGCCACGGGGAAGGGACACAGGGCGAGGCTCAGGGCTTGGGACCAAGCGTGGCAGCTCCACGGCTGTTCCCAGCCCGAGTCTAACGCTGCAGGAGCAGCAGCAGAGGTCTGGCCCATCCCATGAGCAGGGGGAGGATGCAGGGAAGCATTTCCTACCACAGCACGGCACCAGCCAGCTCTGCTGTGACACCACAGAGTGCACACAGCATCACTGAGGTCTCACATCAGAGGCTCTGGTACCCACGTGCCAATGCACAAAACCACCACCAGTTCCAAACCAGCCACTGCCCCAGCGCACAGGTAGTTTGGACCCTCTCCTATTCCCCAGCAAACGGCTCCTGGCCCCGTTCCATGCACCCCAACCCACCGGTATTTTGGATCCGCCCCTCTCTCCCAGCCGACCGCTCCCGTTCCCATCCCACCCATCCCGCTCACCCGCCATGGCCGTCCCGAGGTCGTTGTCGCTGCCCTCCTCACACACCCACTCCTCACAGCACTTGTCGTGGACGCGGACCCTGCGGGGGCGGGGGCAGTCGGGGGACGGCAGGCGCAGGTCGTCGGAGCAGAGCGGGATGCAGCCCACGGCCCCGTCCAGGCAGATGCACTGCAGTTTGCACGTGGGCTGGAAGCTCTCCCCGTTCAGGTAGATCTTGCCCAGCAGGTCACACGTTGCGCCCTCGTGAGCTGTGGGAGGAGGAGGAGGAGGAGGAAGAGCTGAGCAAGAGGCTGAAGTTCTGCCTCAGGAGGGGCAGAGCCCGCCCTGCCCTGCTCTGCCATCCCAGTGCTGGATGGTTTGATATTTGCCTCCCTGGACTCAAGGCTGCTCCTGACATCCATTTTTTGGAAGCACCAACCCTCCCAAAGCTCTCTAGAAAAATTTCCTCTCCATTTGGGTGAGATACCAAGTGTGAGTTTGTCTTTGCAGCCCGTTCCCAGTCAGTGCCCGGTCAGTGATGTCACATCCCTGACACGGCACACGAGCAGCAACTTTGCTCCTCACTACTCCTGGCAGACCAAAAGGCAACGTTCTCCCAAGAGCAACTGGTTCCCACGTGGCTGATGGCACCTACAAAGGAAATGACACTTTGGGTTGGTGACCTTCCTGGCCCCTCTGTGATGCACAAATCTCTTCTTCCTTCCAGCTCCACCTTTTTCTAGTTCCCTCTCTTCTGATCTCCGTGTCTCTCATCTCCAGCCCTCCTGCCACTCTTTCCCTCCTCCCTAATAAAACCTGTTCATAAAAGGAAACACAACAATATCTGACACGGAGCAGCAAAACCTTCACTCTGCAACAACTTGTTATATCTGGCTCAGCCGAAAACTTTCCCAGTGGAAGTTTTCCAGCAGAAATCTCTTATTTGATCGAGATCAGGAATGGTTTCACTAGGAACCAACTGAAGCATTTCATTTTGATATCAAAGGTTTCCCTTATGCTCAACCAAAATACTCGTGGGACAGTGTCCATTGAGGGAAGTGTTTTGCTCTGGTAATTATTTTAGACACTGTAAAAGATCAAGATGAAATATTTTGATAAAATGGAAGCAGAAAGTTTTGACACAGCCAAATGAGTATTCTAAATAAACCATGGACAATTTTGAGGTGTTTTTTTTTTTAATATATAGATATTTAGACTTTTTTTTTTTTTTTTTTCCCAGCCTGAAATGAAATGTTGAAATCTCAGAGTTGTTCACGGGACAGAAATCCTGATTTTGGACAGTTCTCAGCAGCTGCTGCTTTCTGCAAAAAAAAAAGCCATACAAACCTCTATTGGGAAGTTACCAAAATGAAGGATTCTTGGCTGCTTGTGGAGGCTTCCCAGGAAACCTGATCTATTTTGCCCTTAGTCCTGCTCACCCGGGGGACACTGTGTCAGGCAGAAAGTGTTTGGACTAAACAAGGATCAAGAGCCTCTTTCCATCCCATCCCTTGAGGGGACACAAATCCTTCCGGACTGTTCCAAACCAGAGTTGGATCTCAACTGGCAACTCTTTTCAATGCCATTGGGATAAAAATACTCCTGTGCTCCAACTCAGAAGTTTCAAAATCCTCACTTTTTCCACCAGAGTGGAAGCCATCCATCCACCCTCCCTCCACACAATCATTCAGGCTTATTTTTAAAGCCTCTCTCCCTGTTTTTCAGCCCGAGCGCTCTCCCGTCCCGCTGAACGGACCGTGCTGTTCCCTCTCCTCCCTCCCCACCCAAGGAATGGCAGCTCACTCCAGGGGTTGATTATGTTTTCCAAACTCAGTGGTTCTGTCGTGCCCTTCATTACCCTCCCTGACCTCCCTTTCCCAATGACCTGATCCAATTAAGGCACTGAAGCGACGGCGCCCGCAGAGTGAGGAGGTTCTTTATTCCCTGGCACTGCCCAACCCCAAACACCAACTCCAGCCAAGGAGACTTTTGCCCTTTCCCACAGGGAGTATGGCAGGGCTCAGGGAGCCTCTCCAGCTCCTCTGCCAGCTCCCAACACCCACCCAGGCCACCCTAGCACTGGTAGGAACCCCACTCTAGAGTTACTACAGGGTTGGCTCTACCTTTCTGATACTCCAAAGTATCTGCAGGAAGAGAAGGAGTCCTCTGCATTGTGTGGAATGTCATAACATTAAGCAAATACACAATAATTTTCCCTCTTTCACAACTCCAGCTGCCTGCCCTGCCTCCAAAATCCCCCCTTCTTCCAACAGATCCATGTGGACACCACAAAAACGTCACCCAAATCCTCAGCCCAAATCCTCGGTTGATTTTTGGGAGATATCCTGGTCTGGGTTCGCTGGGAGTTTTGCCATGAAAAGCTGAATTTCTCACTTAAAAGCAGGAAGGACAGTTGTGCCAGCAAGTGTGATTTCCTCCACAGCAGGAATTTGGGACTCTTACTCCAAAATGTTTGGATCAAACCTGTTATGTCACGGTGAGCACGAAGCACCGTTACCAGAAGGATGTCCAGGGTGGGAGATTTGGAGATGGAGATTCCCCTAGCCCAGAGGAAATCATTCCTGTGATTTCACTGCCTTTCCTCTACAAACCCACACCTCATTCCCAGTGGGAATGGTGCATCCTGCAGCTCACACCTGCTGGGTGTTGTCACGCCTACATTCACCTCATAAAGCTTCAATCCTCAGCTCTCAGGTGTCAATGCCTACAGAAAGTACCAGGAGCTCCCGTGGCTCCTACAGATCCCAAAAAACTGGGTGAGGGAAATGAAACAACTTATATAAACTTTTCAAAATAAAAAAAACCCTAACAACTTCTACAAGTTAGATTCATTTGGACAAGGGCCTGAAGCTCCTGGCAGAGATGGGGCAGAGGAGTCTTGTTTTTAAGCAAAGAAAAGGAGATTGAGGAAATACTTGCCTTTTTTTTTTTTTTTCCTCTTGACCAAAGTAATTTTTGCCTGTTTTAAAAAGAGCCACCAAATAAAATAAAATAAAAAAAAAATCAAAAAGAGTTTTCTTTTCTGGCTGAAAAGAGGCATGAGGAGAGAAAACAGTTTCTTGCCTTTGTGTTTACCTGGCTCAGGAATTCCCATGTTCCACATGGACACGATGCAGGGAAGGAGCTGTTCAGCTCTTCCCACCCACATATTCCAGCCAGAAACACACTTTGGGAGCAGCCAGGTACAGAACACTCATATCCAGTGCAAGGCATGGGGGTTTGGGGTGGGATTTTCCAAGAAAAAATGCTTTCAGTAAGAGCCCGGGTTGCTGATTTTTACCCACCGGGATAGAGGATGTGTCCTAAGGATGTCCCAGGACACAGGAGAGATCCACAGCCCCACTCATGCCTTGGGGGCTGCAGGAAGGAGCTCTGTGTGTGTGTATGCCAGTGGATTTGTTCTGGGAGGGGCCACAGAAAACCACCCAAGAACAGAACATGCAGGTCTCACCTAAACAGATCCCGCTGCCTCTGTGGATCTTGGAGAAGTCGCAGTAGAGTCCCTTGTGGTGGTCGCAGGGCCTGTGCAGGGAGCAGAGCTCTCCCAGCTGCCTGGCACACACCTTGCAGCAGCCACAGGCATCCAACACGTGGCTGGTGCCAGCAGGGCACTGCAGAGGCTGGGAGGGACACTGGCATGGGAATGTGCAGGCCTGGGCTTCTCCCTGGAGGGCAAAAACCTATGGAGAGGATGAGCCCGGGCAGGGAAAGGGAAAACACGGCTCTGCTGCAAGCACAGACACTCCAGAGAGAGGAGGGAGAGCCCAAGGACTCACAGGACTTTTCTCATCCCTCGTTCATCTGGAGCTCAAGGGGGAAAAAAAGATGCCTCTGGGAAGCAAAGCCAAAACAAACAGGACAAGCAGTAGCTCAGAGTCCCCTGCACAGCTCACCCCCCTCCTCCCTGGAAGCAATAATGTAGTAATTATTAACAGCAAGCAATTCCAGCTCTTACACAGGACAAACATCAAAGCCTCTGCAGCAGCAGCAGCAGCAGCTATGGCTGAAGGGGGGTTTCCTTCTCTGGAAAATCCAGGGTGTGTCCAATACCCCAGTCACTGAGTCTGTGCCACCCTGGATGGCATCAGCTTGGAGCAGCTACAGGAGCTCAGCTCTGGATGTGCCCGGATTTGGGAGATGTGACACCCTGACTGTGGACAGCGTGGCCTCTAAAGACCCTCTGAAACCTCCTCAGTGCCAGCTCCAGCCTGGTTTTCTCTTCCTGCCCACTCGAGTCCCCCCTTGCCCTGCTCCATCACCACTCCAACCTGCTCAGGCACTGTTGCACATGGCTCAGCTCCCACCCGGGGCTGACACGATCTTTGCACATGGATGGTGCTGCCAAAACGCTCTGGGATCCTGCCCTGCTGTGACCTGGGTGGAGAGGGAAGCACCCAAATGGACAAGCCCCTCCCAGCTCCACTGGCAACCTGGGAGAGAGGCAGCCAAGCTGGGAAGAGCCTGAGGGCAGGCAGGGTGGGAGACACACACCTGGGACAGAGGTCAGAGAATAAATTTCTCTTTCTTTGCAGCTCTGTTTGCACTTGTCACATCCCACCCAGCCCTCCCTCGGCAAACAGCTGCCTTGGATGTTGTGTTTGTCACCAATAACAGCAGGAAAACTTTTCCAGCTGTTTTGGCTGTTGCTCTGACTTGAGCTCACGTGGGGTAGGAAGGTGCCAACTGCTTTGTACGGCTGGCACACCCAGCACAGCCCAGGGCAGGACTGGGACCGGGCTAAACCTTCCCTCAAAGGCATGGAATTATGGAATCATAGAATCTGCTGAGCTGGAAGGGACCCACAAGGATCATCCACTCCAACTCCTGGCCCTGCAAAAACACCCAAAAATGCCATCCTGTCCCTGAAAGGATCATCCAAACCCTCCTGCAGCTCTGGCAGCCTTGGGGCTGTGCCCACTGCCCTGGGGAGCCTGTTCAGTGCCCAACCAGCCTGTGGGAGATCCAACCTTTCCCTGAGATCCAACCTAAACCACCTCAGACACAACTCCAGCCATTCCCTCTGGTGCTCCCAAGGGGGTGATTCAGGAATCAGCCTGATTCTCCTGGATCCCTCCTAGCACAGAGAATTTGGGAGCCAAGCCCCTCCTGCCTGCAGCCCAGCTGTTCCCAGCCGGCAGTGCTGGAGCAGCTCGCCAGGAGCTGGCACGTCACAGGGATCCATTCCCAACCACTGAAGAGCATTAAAAGGACTAAAAATACAGAAATCCCCCCTACTGTTTTTCGTGTAGGCAACTGCTGGAGCTGCCAAGGGACGTGTTATCCAGCCCAGGGTGAGTGGGTGGGGGGTACGTGAGCTCACACGAGGCAGAGCATTCCTGACACGGGATCTGTATTGAGATGTAGCCCATGCACTTCAGAAAAAAAAACAATGGCAACAAACATTTTCCAGTGCAGTGTCAGCCACAGGCCATAGAAAGAAACACTCCCAGAATAGCTCTCCAGCTGAAATCCAAACCAAAACAACCTCTTTTGGGGCGACAGAACACAGCGGAATTAAACCCATCCCTGGAAGTGTCCAAGGCCAGGTTGGATGGGGCTTGAAGCAACCTGGGACAGTGGAAGATGTCCCTGCCCGTGGCAGGGGGTTGGACAAGATGGTCTTTCAGTTCCTTTCCAGCCCAAACCATTCCATGATTCCAGGAGTTCTCTTCCTTGCCCTCATTAATCCTTGCTGGCTCTGGTGATTTCCTTGATAACTCACCCACACAAACCACCCCACCTGGTTTCACCTTCAGCTCCCAGCAGCTTCACTCCCTCCCTGTATCACAGCTGCTTTCAGAGTGTCTGGATTCAGATCTCTGGCCTGTCAGAGACCTGCTGGGTGACCCTGCACCCACCTCTGCTCTGCCTCATTTCCCTCGGCTCAAACCCCCAGTCTATCCTGGTTTTCAGGGCTCTTTCCAACACTCCAAGACATTCCCATCAGTCAGCTCAGAATTGCCTCACTCCATCACCCAGGGGGTGTTTGGGCTCCTGTTTGCTGGTTTTATAGCAGAGCAAAGTCAGCCCGTGCTATTTTTAACTCCTGTTGCTCTCCCAGGTCCAGCAGAGGAGGGAATGAGCTGGAATTGGGTTTGGCTCACACACCCCCTGGCCTGGCCAGGGGAACCTCTGGAGTTGGGAACAGCTGTGAGAAAGTCAGTACTGAACCAACCTCCTGAGTCTTCTGTTACTCAATTTTCTTTCAGCTAGGCTAGATAGTGGATTTTATTGGGTTTCCAAGGAGCACCTTCCACCTGCATTTTTACCTAGGACTGCTTCTAGGAGTTGTTTCAATCCAGTGTGGAAACTACCCAAAGAACTGCCCAAACTGTCCCCAGGAACTGCCAGGATTGGAATTAGGGGCTTTGCTGCAGACCCAAATGTAACACCAAGCCCAGCATCTCCACATAACCTGCACTAACCTGGATCCAGAGGGATTCAACTCAGGCAACATTTCATTTTCTTCCCTCTGCAGAAGGGGCTGCCCCAAAACTCACTTTTGCTCTCACTGAGCAGGCTCCTGATTTCAGGGCCACTGCAGCCTTGCCCTTGTTTTCTGTTGAGGTTGGCAGAGCACTTCTGTGAGGTCTGAGAGCAGCAGAACACAACCAGCCTGAGGGATCAAGGCTGTGGAGTTAAGTTCTAAAGCCTGGAATATCAGCTCTCCCTGCTGCTGGCTTTGCTGGCGCCTCTTGCATCCATCACAAACACTGTGTGAGAAGCTGTGGGACTCCCAGGGCTCCTGGGTGATGGCCAAGCCACCCTGGGAGTACCAACACTTGGATAGAGGATTCCCCTGCCTCTGCTCCGTCGTGTTCTCCACCTCTGACTCGCGGGTCCCATCGCAGCTGGCAAGCCAGAACAAGCTCCCTCCCAACTGCCAGCACCAAACCCAGCTACCTGGGGGTGAGAAAGAGGGAGAACCTTCTTCCTGATTCATATTCACATAAAACCCTTCCTCTGCACCCTCAGGAGGGCAACAAGTTGGGGACAAGAGCTCCCACCAGGTCTGTGGCACCCTCGGGATTTCTCATTCCCCATCAAGGTCCGCAGGAGGAGAGGGAGCCAGCTAAGGGAGCCAAACCTAAGAGGACTTTTAAAGTTTGTTTGGGCTCATCACTGCACTCAGAGGGCTGGGAAAGGAGAGTTTTGAGCTGAGCCAGGGGTTAATGCTGCAAGGTAGAGGTGGGACAATAAACACCCAACTGGTTCTCCTTGTGCTCCAAGACTGGCAGTAGAGAAAGCAGCCAAAACACAGCTGTTCATCCTCCAAAACATGGGATTATTGTGAATAAATCCCTGCTCTCCCTCTGTCACAGGCTCTCAAGGCACCTTCCCAAGGCTGTTGCAGCACTTTGTACAACAACCCACAAGGGGAGACAAGAACCAGTGACCCCATTCCCAGTGGGGGCACAGAGACCTGCCCAGGCTGAGCCTAAACATAACTCCCAGAAACCCTGGAACTACTCCCAGCTCTGAACAACACAGCAGGCAGATTCAGGAGTAACAGCTCTCATTTCCTGAATCCATAAAAAAAAAAAAAAACCTCACAGATTCATTTAGGTTGGAAAAGACCTTCATTGGTCACTGAGTCCAACATTACGTTTAGACCTCAAAGAGAGGTAAAACTCCCATTTCTGAGGCAGGTTTAGGGAAAATAACACATCTCAGAGTGATATTTGAGTCACTGATTCACTGTTATTGTTTATATGACAATCACTGCTGCCAAAGATGAGCCAGTGCAAGAACCCAAATGGCAGCAGTTACCCTCAGATCATATCCCAGGGCACATTCCTGGTAGGAAAGGGGCTGGCACACTCCAAGTGCTGCCAGGAGCATCCAACAGAGCTCACCAACCAGGAGTTTATTGCCTCTCTCAGCACAACAAGCCCTGCAAGTGCCTCTGTGAACCCAATTTCCTGATGAATCCAAAAGGCACTTCCAACAATTTAGAGCCATTAATGACTGCGGGGATCTTCCTGCCAGTCCTGGCACGGGAACAGCACACAAACATCCTAAGAGGGATCAGCTGCTCTGTCAGGCACTTGTATTAACAGGAAAACAGGCACAAATCCTGCTCTGGAAACTCTGCAGTCCAATTTTCCCCTGGGGATCACTGGTTTTGGGAGCACATGGGTGGATTCTGTGGCAGCTGGGGAAGGATGGGCAAGGTAAGGAACTGGGATATGAGACTGTTATTCCTTGCAGTGACACAAACTCAGTGAGTGACTTTCCCCTCTCTCTGTTCTCTTCTCCCCCTTGTAAACCAGGGCTGGCCTTTGACTGCTGGGAGGGGGACAAAACAAAACCCATTTCCCTGTGCCAGGAGCCCCGAGATCCGTGGATGACTCGCGTTACACGGGGCAGCTCCAAGCCTGGTTTAATTACACAGCTCCTTGGTCTCGCTCTGCTCCCAGCCCAGCTTCCCTGGGAAGCTCGGGAGCAGGTGGGAAGAGCTTCCCATCCCAAAGCCCTCTCATGCATCCAAGCAAGAAGCTGCAGAGCCCGGGCAGAGCTGTACGTACCCAGCCGGGGGCGAGGAGCAGCAGGAACACGGTCCGGGTCACTGTCCCCAAGTTTCCAGACATCCCGAGCACTGGGAAGGGATCCAGGCTGCCGACCGACTCCCTCTCTCCCGGAGTTTCCCGTCCCTTTGGAGCAAGTTGCACATCGGCTTCTCCTTAAATCTCCTCCGGAGGGGGCGGGCCCCGCTCTGAGCCACGGGCTTGGAACCGAGCCCAGAGGGGTGCAACAAAAACTGCCCGAATTCCAAGGAACGCCAGCGGATTCCTGCGGCCCCCGCGGTTACGGGACTGCCACTGCTGCCCGCAGCCAGCTCACCTTCCAGGCGGGGAAATCAAACCCCAGGAAAAGCAGGGTTATTATGTTTTAATTTTCACCTCTTCCCAGCTCCCGGAGTGGGAACCCTGGCACGGCCTCGCTGACAGAGCCCCCCTTTCCGTTCCTGTTCGGCTGCAGGAGCTGAGGGGTGAATGGGCAGAGCTTTGCGGGGCTCGGTGTTGGAGCAGGAGGGAGGGATGGGAAGTTTGGAGCTGTCAGGTGTCACCTCTGTCCCTGCATCGCTTGTGCTTCCAGCTCTCAGAAATTAAAGTTTCATCCCTAGAACCCCTGCACGAGGAGTGCTTGTAAAACTCCTGCGTGTTTTACAAGGCAACGAAAAGCTCCAGGATGAAGAGGTTTGATAAAGGACAGCAATTCCCTAAAGTGCTTTGTTTGTGCCTCGGGACTGGTGCAGGATCTCACACATCTTTACTTTGGGGCATCATCCTTTTTTCTTCTGCTGAAATCCAGCACCGGGCTTCTGTACAGACCTGTGGAATGTGAGAGAGTTGTTTTGGGTATTAAAAGAGTCGTTTTGTTTATTCCCAAAGAGGAAGCGGAGCTCTGCCGTGGGAGGAGGAGGAGGAGGAGGAGGAGGAGGAGGAGGTGGAGTGCAGCAGAGGGCACTCTTAGCCCTCGCTGGCCAGGGGTGGGACAGAGCAGGTCGGGTACCGGACAGGAGCCTGAGAAAGATGGAGCTGTGCCTTAGTCAGGAATCACGGATCTCCTGAGTTGGAAGGGACCCATCAGGATCATCGAGTCCAACTCCTGGCCCTGCACAGACATCCCAACAATCCCACCCTGCCCCTCAGAGCATTGTCCAAATGCTTCTTGAACTCAGGCAGGCTTGGTATTGTGACTCCTTCCCTGGGGAGCCTGTTCCAGTGCTCAACCAGCCCTTGGATGGAAAACCTTTATTGAGATCCAGCTTAAACCTCCCCTGACTCAGCTTCATGTCGTTAATTTAAATTACTTTAACGTAATTTAAATTTTAATTCATGCCATCATTTACATTCAGCCTCCTTCCTGTCTGCCTCCGAGGGTAGGGCAGTTTAGCTGGGAATCAAGCCCTGAATTTCATCCAGGTCCTGTCGGGTCCCTGTGCAACAAGATCAGCATCCACACACTCCCTGTGTGTCCAAACTGACAATTCCAACTCTTCACTAATTAGCACTTGGAAAGCCCCTTGGGATTTGGGGCTGGAGAGCATCAGCACAGTGCAAACCACCCCGGATGCACCTTCTTCTCCCCTTCCATAAGAGGGATTTTCACAATCACTTCCATAACAGCCACCTCTGCCCACAAAAGATTTCAGTGTTCTGGAGGTGGCACAAACACCCAGTGCCCTCAGGCAGCTTGGAGCTCCAGGCAGTCTGGTTGGAGATACATTCCTTCCCCTCTTGGAGGGCTTGGCACCCTGACCCATGTTGTCACCTAAAATTAGCTGCTCACATTTCCCAGGACGTTCTCCCGCTGCTTGTAAATAAGACAGGGATGAAGGGCTGCACACCTCAGTCCTCATCCTCTCACACTGCAGGAATATAACCCCCAGCTGAATTCTGAGCCCTCCAGGGCACCTGGAGATGACACATTTGTGGGTTTTTAGAAGGATCATCACCCTGTGTGATGTGTGGCTCAATCCATGGCTCCTTGTCCAAGAATAAGACATTCCCCTTTCTCCAGTAACAGGACAAGGGGGAATGGTTTCAGCTGAAAGAGGGCAGGGTTAGATGGGATATTGGGAAGAAATTGTTCCCTGTGAGGGTGAGGAGGCCCTGGCACAGGTTGTCCAGAGAAAATGTGGCTGCCCCATCCCTGGAAGTCTCCAAGGCCAGGTTGGAGCAACCTGGGATAGTGGAAGGTGTCCCTGCCCATGGCAGGGGGTGGAACTGGATGGGCTTTAAGGTCCCTTCACACCCAAACCATTCCATGATTCCATGATTCCATGATTCTGTAAGAAGCAGCAGCTGCACCTTGAACCATGATCTTCCAAACTGTGCTTTAACTCAAACCTGCTGTGTGACCTGGGATGAACTGTGCAACCACCCACCTGTCAGGGGTTCTGCTGGGAACATTCAGCACTAAGCCAGAATTTTGATGGCTGATCGGGTTTTCAACCTACAACAGAAGTAAAGGATAATTTGATTATAAAACATCCTTTCCAAGCTGCTCATCATCATCATCATCATCCACCTGAATGCTTCCACCTTCCCAGAGCAGTAAAACATACTGAGTCCAGTCCTGCTCATCCTTGGAGCCACCTTAGCTCTTGGAGTGTAGGAGCAGTAGGATGTGAAAGAGGAGGCATCAGCTGAAGATCCCTGGATTTTGGAAGCTCCCACACCCAAGATCTTCTTAGAGCACTGGGACAACCAAAGCTACCCCTCATGTGAGGAGCTGAACTGTTCACCCCACTGGACATACCAAGAGGGAAAAAGAAGAACATGAAGGTTGAGTGACTCAGAATGATCAAAGGCAGGAAACACCCAAGTTAGCACCGATTTCTATCTCCTCCTTTTGCCTGAGCTGCCTCAAGTGAAGGGATAAAGATGTCAACCCTGCTTAAAATCTCCCCCAAGCAAAGCATAGTGGGTGTTTAATTCACCTTGTTACGTTCTTCTGGGTTCACTCACCCTGCCCAACCGGCAGCTTCCCTGGATTCACAGTAATTAAAATAGAAGACATTTAGATAATTGCTAAAAATCGTGTCAGGCCAAGGAATAAAATGAGGGCAAGCACACACACAGGTTTTTTGGCTCGGTGGGATCTTCCCCTGCCTGCAGTGTTTCTGGGCTCCATGTCATTCCCAGAGAATTAACAGCTGAGAAGGTCTCTTCCAGACCCAGGTTTGAGTTCAAGTCCAACACCAGTTCAGTATCTGTCTAAAGGGATATTTAAGGTCAGATTCATGCTGTCTAATTCACTGACAATTAATTAAGGCATCTCCATTAGAAGCCTAATCTCTCTAGGCTCCCAATAATCAATGGGGAAGGGCTGGAGCTCCTAAAATTCCTTCTGAGGGTTCTTCCCTGTGTATCAGCTGTGTCACCATGTCAGTGGCTGTAAATTATCAGAAGGAAGTGTCACAGAAATGCAGCACCAGAGCTCAGCAAAGACTCAGTTCCACACCTTGTCCAACTCCAATCAGGGCGTGGAGGCTTCCCTGCCCTAGGGATGGAAAGGGCAGGGAAAACCACCCCTCCTCACTCCAGGACAGCCCTGGGATGAAATCCTGACTGCAGGGAAACACCCTCTGGCTCCAGCAGAGCTGGGATTCCCTCTGCTTGCCAGACACACAGCCCTGAGGCCACTCTGCTGTGCCCACGGGATGTCAGGGTGGGGACAGCTTCTGTCCCTGGCTGCAGAGTTCACTTGTGAAATCCACAGTTATATTAGTTCTGGGAGGAACACCCTGTTGTATTTGAGGATTTATTGTGACATCCAGCTCTATCAAGGGATGTGACACTTGGGGTGGGTGAGGTGGCTGCTGCTGTCCTTGTATAGGAAGTAAATATACAAAAAGAGTCTTGGCACCATAAGTTTGGAAAGAGCCAGTGCTCAGACACAGAGCTGGCCAGGAAAAAACAGACATCCTCCTCTAGGAGAAAAAAAAAAAAATTAATGCCCCCTTTGGAGCCTGATCTTGGCAGGATGCAAAAATCCAGGTCTGCAGCACCAGAGGGTGCAGCCAAGGGCACCCAAGGAAAAGACACCGAACGCAGGGGATGCTCCTTTCAGATCAGGACAGCGGTGACAAACAACCCTTCCAAGGATATCCCTGCAGCAGGGCCGTGGTGTGACAGCAGGTGACCTCCTGAGACCCTCAACAACCGCAAAGCCTGGGTGTTCAGATGCAACTGTGAGTCACCGTCGTGGCCAGGAGCGTTTGTGCCGAGGCAGGGCTTGCACAGAACCGCAGGAGAAACAGGCCCCGGGAGGAAACAGCTGCACCCACCTGTGAAATGGATGCTTCCTCGGGTTTTTCCACTTCTTAACTTGCTGCATGCTTAATTATCCTGAAGGAAAACTGCGGGGAGGGAGGGCGTGTTTAAGGTGGACTCGGGCAGGGTCATTTAAGGAGGTGCCTGTGCCACGGGACTGCTCTGATGGCTCAGACCAGCACCCTGAGCCTCCCGGGGTTTGGTCCTCACCACCTGCACAGAAGGATGTGCTGAAGGTGACAAGGCTTGGGAAGGAGAAGGGACTGAGGGAGGTCTCTCTGGTTATGGGATATGGCATCACATTGGTGGTTCTGCCTGCAAAGAGTGCATTTTCTCATCCCATTTTACGGGATCTGCCACCCCCTGAAGGAGCAGCTGCCCTGCCACGATGGCCACGAGCTTCCCTCAGTGCCCGTGTCTGCACAGCTGCATCCAGGAGAGTGCAAGGAGGGGTTCTCCTCCTGATCCCACCCCTCCAGGGACCTCTGGCACCACCTGTGCCCTAAAATCCAGGACTCTGACAAAGCAGCTCCGCTGAAATCCATAGTTCTTCCCTAATTCCCTGCACATCTCATCAGCCTCAACAGGCAGCAACAGGTCCCTGAGCTCTGCCAGGCTGGGAGGACCTGGAGGGCTGGGTGGCCTACCAGGACTGGTGTGTAGCTCTCATTAGGGATTTGGGATTCCATCAGGAGCCTGCCCACACCTTTCCCATTCAGGTTTTGGAACAATTCCAGCTCATTACACGGAATCAGTGAATAATGCAGGTTGGAAGGACCCTCAGGTCATCCTGCAGCCCCTCCCAACACAGAGGGTAGAGAAGAGGGGGAGATTTTAGAGGCCAAGAGAGAGGGGCAGGTCAGTGGG